GACCGAGTAGAGCGAGACCACCGACTATTCCACCGACCAGGCCGCCTATCGTGCCACCTGAGAGACCCGACGCTTTGTCCTTTGTCGCAATTGGTGAAGGGGGCGAGGAAGCCGTTGTTTGTGCTCCTCCAGACGGTGAGGTGGTAGCAACGGGTTGTCCGGATGCGCTCGGAGTTGCTGACGATGCAGCTGCGGTGGTTGGCGCAAGTGCTTGTAGAGCAGACAAGCTGATCGCGTACGTAGGGGCGGAAGGGCGAGCCGCTATGAGAGACTGCGCTGTTTCGTTTACGGCGGTCGCATTGAGGGAAATGAGAGGGTTGTCTAGTTTACTCCAGCAGATGTTCGTCTGGTCTGCTGTTTCCGTGCACGTCTCGCTAGGTCTTGTCAGCTACATGCGCAACGTTTAGTATTGCGGCGCTGAGAGGTCTGCTCACCTTGACTTCAAGCAGCAAAAGGTATTGATGCCAGTCGAGCAAGCTTGTTGACTGCCCGAGGGCGTTCTCGTGTCTCCTCCATCGCAGTCTGAACTGGGTCCCCAACACACAGCATCTGTACTCCCTGGTATGCAGCAATAATACTTCTCCGTGCGATCATCGAAGGCGCAGACCGATGGCGCGTCACATCCGAATGAAGATTTAGGACATGCCTTCAAGTCGCCAATTCCTACGTTGCCGGCGAAGAAAAACTCGGTGAAGGCGCTACGCACTGGCAGCGTGGTTGCGAGGAGCAGACAGACTGTCGACAACATCTCCCCGCGTGTTGGATTGAGCGCGTGTTGAGTTATGGAACGATTTGTGGAGTGCGACCGTAGGCGTGGAAGCGATCTTCTACAGCATTATGAGAGAACGGTGAGCCTTTCGGCGAATTTCTTTCGCTGTGGAGATGTTAGGCCACCCATCATTCCATAGCCACGATATGCTGTGCCCAAGAAGCCGGGGGCTTGCATCCAGACACGAATCACGTTGTGTTGGTGCCTTGGGTCGGCGACGTGAGAGGCAGTGTCGGCGTTATAGCCATAGCGCGACTTCGCTGCTCATCGTTGCTGCATGTGGTCCATGGCTAGCTTTTGAAGGCCCGGATCGCAAAGTTTTACATGTAGGAGGAGAGACAAGGCGCATGCCTGGAGGTCGATGATCTAAAGAATGTACCAGTAACTGATTGGCAAAGAAGCTCACGTCGAGGGTGTGTAGCTCGTGGAAGCCGGCGGTTGCGACGAAACAGCGTCGAAAGTACGGCGCGTGCGTACCGCGTGGTAATCTCGGCATCTTCCGAGTCATCCCACATGAGTCGCGAGCGCGCATCATCCATCTCTTTCATCATCTTCTTGTGTGTCTTCTTGTTTGCGCGCTTGTCTCGTGATGATCCGATTGCAATGACATTGAATGGTACTTTGGGTAGTTGGGTATGTGATGACTATGATTTGCCGACGAATTCTCACCTCTTTCCCCGAGTACCAGTACACACTTTGACCACGAGCCACGATTTTAGGACCCAAAGGTCAGACAATAGTGTGTTAGGCCTTGCATATCAAAAGACATCTGTGGGGTTGCAACCGGAAATAACAAATCTTGGGCTGCCTTGGGAAGCCGGGCATGTGGACACCATCTCTGGTGTCATTTTTGGACCCTCGCATGGTTCATACTAAGTTCAAGGTCCAGAAAACTAAAAGAGTTGGGGTGGAACGCATTGCCATGGTTATCGAGCACAATCCGCGTGCTTGTCGGTCGGGACAGGTACCTAGGTACTTCAGGGCGGTGCCACAGTGCCGCAGTGCCAATACGTCACTCATGGCATTCCGCAATTTCAACATTCGCATCATGTCAACTTTGAGACTGTAACGCAAATAGAGTGCGCAGGAAAGATAATGCCGTGCTACCTAGTTATCGAGCCACCAGTTGTGGAATGTCTCACGACGCAAACTCCCGAAGTCTTGTGCGTGAACAGGTGCCGTCTGCCCGCGCAGATATCTCACCGTCTGTGCCAGCGCTGTATATCAAGAGGCGATCATGTAAATATGACAAAGGAGTATTCTTCTAGCAGCGTAGCTTGCGTGGGGTAGTCGCTACTAGAGTGTACTGCAGTCTCACGTTATTTGTGGAAATGAAGGGCAATATCCGACCAAGCGGACCTCCGCGGAGCGGCTGGCTGAGGGTACCAGAACAAGAACTGCCTGGATAACTCGATCATTATACTGTCCCAAAAAGCCAGCATACCGGAATCCTTCTATGAATAGCCCCTTGATGTTAATTCTACGCTAAGCCTATCCCTTGAGTACATAGGTATTAACCATCTCAAGTCTGTATACTGCCCATGCGTGTGGCTCAAAAAAGATGTGGTCATTAGAGTGGAGAACGAAAGCCTTGCTAGCGACCCGTGACAGGCACTAAAGGCGAAGATTAGCAAAACATTGGTATCTAGTGGCGTTGCTTTCGAACGATGCGATCAATGTCAGAGTGAATGTGTGTCAGCCAGGTTGCTCCCGGATTTATTGTCCACACTGCAATATTTCCAGACCGATACAAGATGAAGATGAGTGTCAGTATTTCAATGCTCAACTTCGCGTCACTCTCGCTTCGATGAATAAAGAAGAGTCGTTGTTCTCCAACACCGCTAGACTCCTCCAGAGTATGACTGATGCAAGACTCGCGCCTGTTTGGAGAAAATTCTCAAACATGTTAGTCAATTCGAACTCTGTTTTGCGTGCGTCGGCCAAGATCTTCCCTTCTTTGTAGATGTTTGGCCACGCCGCAGGAGAGTATGGAAGGGCTGGGCGTGCAGTACCTAGGAATCGATGAGTACAACACATTCAATGCGGAGGCCCATGCCGAGGAATGGCGCGACAGTGACCCTGCCTGGCTTTTCGCATCCGTTCTTGAACAGGCCGGTGTGATACCTAGGTATTCGATGCGAACCAGAAAACCGAGTCAATGGACAGAACCGATTGTGTTACCATGCGGCATAGACCCCACTGGGTGTCGGATCATAATCTCGGCATTGGAGGGGAAATTCTTTGGAATGAGCGCAGTCGCCGCGAAAGCGAGAAACACGCTATTGCCATTGTTATTGCCTAGGCACAGGCTGACATTGGGAACTGTGGCTAAGGATTGAAATACCTCGTCAGTGTTATGGACCTTAGGGCCGGATGCGTACCCGATTCTGCTGGTTGATTGGCAGGTTTGGAAGAGACCTGAGTGCATGATGTGACTCGAGGACGGAGTGGCTCGCCGATATCACGTTACTTATGTATTCAGATGGCGGAAGGTTCGATCTCTTGAACGATTTCGATGCCAGAACGCGCTAGCACGCCTACACGTGCTCGCGCTGCAGAGGATCGAAGATCCCGACGCTGCAAATGATTGGCCGGACGGCAATAGCGCCGAAGTGGCGCCACGAAACCTCGATACGAAATTCCCCTTCGAGCCTTCCTCCACCCGCCGTCAGATAGCAACTACATACGCTTCTTTCTGTGGCACTTTTTTGATACGCATTTTTCACGGAGTCATGCAGCGGTCTATATAGACTGGTGTCTTGCAGTTGATTCTGCAGTAACAACGCGGCTGACGTCACGGTCTCAAAGGAATGGACCAAGGAGCTGCACGAAGCCCACCACCACTGCGTTCACTCCTACCTGCGCCCGCCGGTGGAGTTCGCAGAGAATCTGTGGAAAGGCAAAAGGCTACACGCGTCAACGCTTGCGAGGCTTGCCGAGTTCGTAAGTCAAGAGCAAGTACACGCATGCTACTTTCTGGTGCTGTTGCTGACCTGGGAACAGTGCGACGGATTAAAGCCTAAATGCACTGCATGCGTGACACGAGAGACTGAATGTCGGCATGGCGAAACGGAGTCACGTCAGTTCAAGCGTAGATATCAGCAGCTCAAAGAGAAACGTACCGCCCAAGAAGAACTGTTCGACATGCTACAAAACCTGCCAGAGAGGGATGCAGCCAGTGTCTTCCGCCGTATTCGAGCCGGTGCAAACGCCGAGGCCGTCGTGAAGCACATACAAGAAGGGAACATGGTCGCTGAGGCTTCCAATGTGCCCCAAACGTCGTCGCGTTTTCGTTTTCCGTATTTTGATGAGATACCACCAAGCCTTCGAGAGAGCGCTTACTTTCGATCACTAGTATCGGAAGCAATCGAAACATCCGATAACGACAGAGACGATCCCCAGACTCAATTTGCTTTCCAGAGGAGCAATTACGAGAGGCCTTTTTCCTCGGCCAAGTTGGTGGACCCTCTACTTGAGGATGCACAACCGTCGCACTGGACTAGTGTTAGCTCCAACGATCGATTGCTGCGTAACATTCTTGAAAGTTACTTTGTCAACCAGTATCCAAGACAGTTCTTCTTCTTCAAGAATTATTTTCTAGAAGACATGGTATCGAGAAGAGCTGAGTTCTGCTCTCCTCTACTCGTCAATGCACTTTTGGCCAAATCTTGTGTGAGTGAGTGTACATTTTTGTCATGGATGGGGGTTTACTAACTTATCACAGGCTAGTTCTCGACTGTTTGCCAACCAGACCAAGTTCTGGAATCCAGATAGCCTGCCATATCGATTCTTGGCTGAAGCAAAACGACTATGGGAACTAGAAGAGGGGCAGCCAAAGCTTACAACGATCCAAGCTGGCTGCCTGATCAACGCCACGATGAACGACTTTGGTCATGATAGGGTCGGGTTCTCTTACATGTTCAAAGCGCTCAGCATGGCACATCGAATGAATCTTTTCACGCCTCGGTCATATGACAATAAACTTGAACACGCGAAATCGTTCACTGCCTGGGCCCTTTCCGCATGGCTTTCGTAAGTACATTTGTTCAATATCATTCCTCAGCTAACTTCTGTCAGATTGCAGAGCTACTATTACTTCAAGCCACCGTGCCTCTTGGATATTCCGGCAGATCCGCTTCCTGACGCCGATGGCAGATCGGAGTGGTACGGCCAGATGTCATTGCGTTATCCACCGGACGAGCAGATCTACTCACCCGAATTCGCCCATAGTATGAAAGCACAGTGCGAGTTGCGGGTCATCCAGAATGAGATCGGCGTCATGTGCTTTAGTCGCTCCAAAGAGTCTAGGAAGATGCCCTGGGGTGCAGCTCTGCATATCCAGGCAAAGTTGGAAGCCTGGTATGGAGGTTTGCCTGTTCAACTGCAGCCTCGCTGTATCGTATACCCCGCTCATCTTATGCTACAGTAAGTGGCTATGCCAGATGATCCTAATATAAAAGCTAAGAGGTTTGCAGTTGCGAGTACTATGCGGCTCTTGTAACTTTGTTCCGGTCGCAGATCTCGTCTGGGGATGATGGCGACCAGCTGTTGACGCAGCATCAACGTAACGCAGCTGAGCAAATGGTTACCCGAGCAAGCGTTCAACTCGAGAGTATCTTGCGCTTATACTACCTTCGCCATAGTTTCGAGGCTTACGACTCTACGCTTACTATCTTCCTGGCCCAGCTCGCCAACCTAACTTTAGAGCCTCTTGAACAACTCGAACGAGATCCGGGCAACGCTCCCCCGGAAGTCAGCGAATCTCTCCTATCGACACTCGTCTTATGCTTCAGTGGCTTATATGAGCAATCCAAAAGCGCCTACATCGCCGGTGTCATGCTCATGATCATGAAGAAAAGACTGAGTGCCGACGTTCGTAACGCTGTCGGGCGTTATGTTATGATCGAAGAGACGGATGGTGATAGTGATTCAATGGACGAAACGGACCTAGAGTTTTCACATCCAATTCTTTCGGAGCTCATTCTGCCGGGTACAAGCCTCAGCGACGATCCAAAGTCGTGGAGATTGAAGAATTTGGTGGATGATCCTAGGAGGTATTCAGGGTAGCAACAGAATGGGATGCGAATAACGCGATAATATTGATATGCAGATATAATAGACGAGTGAGGAATGAAGCAGGCACTTGATGCGTTGTTCGACCATATGACGCCATTGATTCCAGCAAAGCTCGACCTGAAGGCTGACCTCGGGAGTGTGTCAGCCCTTTGACCACGTGATGTCTGTCTGGTGGTTCTTCGGTCTTGCATTCCAGGTAGAGTGCGCGACCAGTGATGTTAGGAAGATTCGACGCGTCGAGACCGCAGAGCAGCAAAAGGAAATGCCCGCCACACGGCCAGATCGAAAGGATCGATGACCCTTTCATTTCTCATGCCAGTGATGCCAGCCGTATCTTCATAGTATATCGATATTGTGGCGCTGCGCTGACTAGAGGTTCAAACTCTCGTTCATCATCTACGGTATGATCTCCGGATGTTAAAGCGCCGTCGCGTCGCAGATGATGCACGCGTCGCCGAAAGAAGGCAGGGGGAGAGGCTGACCCGGTACGTCTTCGCCTCAACTTCAAGTTTGAAAATTCGAAGAACGCGAGTCGTGTTGTGTCATGCCTGCAAATGCCTCTCTTCGCAAGATTTGTTGGAATCCTTCACTGTGTAGGACGTGATGCAGCAGCCCTGAAGGCGTTCCACAAGCGGGACAGAGAAGGCTGCCAAGCCACTTACTAGTCAAGCGGGCCGCTGACGTGGTGAGACGCTCACGAGAAAACGACAGCTCGTCGACACGGCGATAGCCATACCTTGTGGACGAATTGTAAGTTGCCACCATGGTAAAAAACGGAGATCAGATGAAAGCGATGGAGCTTCATCCTCGCTCGTGCAGATGTCACAATGAACAGTCCGCCACCTTGTTGGTTCGGGAAGGCCCCGCATCCGCGGATCCATCTGCATCATGCGCACAGACATTCGATAGAACCTTGGAACCCAAAATCAGGAGGCGGTGGAGAGTTTCAACGCGCGTCAAAAGCGCGAGGTTCCCGCCCCTCTTCCCGTTGCATTCCCGTTGGACCCACGACTTCCATTCAGGTACCAACGCACGCGAACCGTGAAGAAGACAGCACTTGCAACTTTGAACCTATCCAGACAGCATCATGCCAGTGGACGAGTGGACTCCTAGTAGAATCATGTTCGACCCACCCGAGAAAGGTCGCTTGGGGTATTCCGATCCTGTAGCGTGAGTATCTTGCGAGTAGTTACAGGAGGTCTCCAGCTGATCTCTTCCTATAGAGACCATGACGTGAACGAACAGCAACAACGACGCGTTTCCGCAAAGCGCGCTCGCGACATGGAGGACGACTCACTTCCAATGGGGAAACGACGTGGCGACATCTTTAAAACATTCCCCCGACCTCTTCCAAAATCCTCACCCGCGAACAGCACACAGGTGCGTTCGCCCATCACGGGCGCTCAATCAAATAAGAACAAGTCCAAGTACAATTCTCGAAAACCATCCTCCGGTAATTCGAAGCCGCGGTCGGCGTCTACCACCAAGCAGCGAGAGCTCATAGACCTTACCGGGGATGCAGACATGGAGAGCGTTGACGGTGGTGTACCAGAGAGCGTTGATGGCGGTGTTGCATTAAGCACTGTAAGCGTTGATGGAGGTGTTCCACTTACCCCTGCTGAAGCCGCGGCGGAAATGTCATCTCCTGGATCTTCGCGTGCAGCAATGCAGTCCAGAGCCTCGCATACTGTACCTTCGGAAACACCACTACAATCGAGAGCGGACAAAGGCAAGGCCAAGGCTACTGAGCTGGCTTCAGCTGCACGTTTGCCTACACCAAATCCTGAGTCGAATGAAGAAACACATTTCGGAGATGTACAATCTGAGGTCCACGCTACCGACGAGGATGTCAATCGTTTCATCCGCCAAGGCGAGACGAGGCCAGATAGGGAAGATGAGGTAGCTTACCTCACAAAATGGAAAATACCTCAGAGATATCGACCAGAAGACAAGCCTCTGCTGTATGCTGGATGGAACTTCGGCGATCTCCCTCTGAACTTCCTGAAATATCTTTCGTATGAGCTTTCACAAGGCAGGTTGCTTGAGGGGGACTGGGCGCCTCTGGCAAAAGCTTTTAAGCTCTTCTACCCTGACATGCTACCCGGTCCCCAGCTAAGGGCGCGGATGCAAAGAGAACAAGCTGAACAAGCCGCACAAGCTACACAGTCGGCACAACCAACACAATCGACACAAACCCCACATGAGCACGCAGGACCTTCTCAACAGCGAGGCTCCCGTGCCGAACGCAATGCTGAACGCAATGCTCGTCTAAGGGAGGCTTTCAGTCTGGACACGAAAAGCTTTTCATTCAAGGAACATTCTCCTTGGCCGCACAAGAGGATCGACCAGCTACAAGATGGAGAGCGCAAGAGATTGGTGAGGATGTGGGGCAATGGATCGCTGCGTAGGAGACTGGATCCTGAGGATTTTAGCTGGTGCACAGATGCGATGAGACACTTCAACTTGATCATTTAGGAAATATGTAGTATGAAATGAATCGACGCAAGACATGTGATGGTTTTACCTACCCATCTACTCGCTTGAAGCCCTGACGCTATCCAGTCAATGTTCGTAACGTCACCTTCCTCGCCGAGAAGCCCTTCTGAACAGTCCACATCTGGGACCGATCGAGGACCATCATAAGGAAGCGAAGTCAACTCATCCCGCTGCTGGCTAACCCAGCTTGCGATCACAGCTTATATTGTCGACCAAGCGTTGTCTATCGGCATCAGGATACCGCTGATCGTCTTTGCAGCATCAGACGCAAGGAATGCAATGCCCTGTGCGATATCGTTCGGGCCCACTGATCCGTATGGAAGATCGTCTCTTTTGAGACCTTGGCATAACATCTGCACGGGGCTGCAAGCTTGTTAGCGATGACAGTGTGCCAGGGCTGTAAACCCTTACTTGTACATTTCCATTGCAGCCTGATCGACGTCCTCTTTCACCACCGATGAGCGGATGTTGGTCGGCACGGCTGAAACTCTTGTTAGAACAACATCCTCTGAGTTCAAGGACTAGACGCGGTACTCACCGCCTGGGAGTACGGCATTACATCTGATACCGTCTTTGCGGAAGCGCCATGCGACATTCTTGGTCGCACCGACAAGCCCATGCTTACTGGCTGTGTATGCGATGCCTGCCACTGCACCGGAAAGACTTGCATAACTACCAACATTAATGATGGCACCGCTTTTTTGGTCTTTCATACTGGGCAACACAGCCGCCATCATTCTGACCGGTACTGTGAGGTTGATGGTGAGGACGTGCTCCCACTCGTAGTACTTGATTGTATCGGCGCTGCCAAAACTGTCCATGATGCCTGCAACATTAGCCAGCACGTCGATCTTCGCTCCGTACTTTGCGATGCAAGCAGCTACGGCCTTTTCTGCTGCGCCGAATCTGCAAAGATCGGCTTTGTGGAAGGTGAAAGACGCTTTCTGGGTGACATTCAGGTCTTGGTCGAACGGCGACATATCGATGCCGAAGACTTGGGCTTTCTGTGATAGGAAGAGGAGGGTCGTCGCGAGGCCAATGCCGCTGCTGCAACCCGTGATGATGACAGTCTTGTTGTCAAAAGATGGCATGGCGACGAATTATGATCTCCACCTGGAGGTAGGTATCATGTAAACCGCTCATGACTACTCGTCTTTTATACATGCCTAACACTTGTCTTTGTGGCCTTCGCGGATGCGTACAGACCGTATGAGTAGTTTGTCTTTATCCACATGTCCCGCAATCTAGATGCACACGATGTCGAATCGGGCTATTTGCGCGACCCAGCTGGACAATTGGCCAACCAGAAGCTTGACCATCCGCAAACGCTAGAAGCAGGTAACACTGCCGAGCTTGAAGCGCAGTCTACGAGAGTATTCAACCGACGTTGCTGTTTTGTTCACGCAACGACGGCGAAGATACCCAATGAGTCCATCTTTGCATGAGGGAGAGGGCGGTAGCCCAGCGGTTTTCGGTCAGAACCGCGAGTACGTTGGATGGCTCGTCTGCATCTACACGATTTGAGCAGGTAGAAATGACTCGGTTAGTTGAATGTTGCGGCAAAAGCGAAGATAAGTCATGCTAAGTTGACCATATGGGTGTTGACTGCGCCGCTGAGGTTGTAACCGGAAGGAAGCCATCCATGCGACATGGGCTGTTACGTATGCCAAGCTTCCCAAGGTCGCTGCGCGACTGCGCGCTCGAAGTCGCGTCACTTCCGCAACTCACGCGTCCTGCACCGTCCCCAGCAACGATGGGAAATCCCGACAACTATCCTTTTACGTTTGACTTTCCTGTAGGTCCATACGTGGACAAAGGACGGCGTTTTCGGGCTTGGACGTTGTATGACGTCTTCTCGGCTGGTTCGTACACACCTCCCATTGTCTGCATCGCACTGACAAGCAAACGCAGACATGCCCGATGAGGAGTTCAAGGCTCTTGTAGATCTGCACCGTCCCGTCAGTTCTGAAGTCTTCTGCCTCATTGTCGACAACAGGTTCCGGAACACATTGCATTTCCTCAAATTGTGCTTGGCTCGCGATCTGGATTTCTACTGGGACCAACGGCACCATACAAGAGAAGAAGACCAGAAGCGACTGGAAAAGTACTTCGACGAAACATTTCTGCCACGACTGCTTCATATGATGCGGAATTTGGCTAATGCTGATGTCCGTGGCTTGAGGATGGCAATCGCGTGGTATATGACCATGAAACTGGAGTTGATACACAACGATGAGATATATCTCGGCGTCTGGGCTAATTCCGTTCTCGACTGCTTTTTGCTTGAGACATTCTATGGCTGGGACGGAAAAAAACCAAGCTATCGCCGGGAAGCCTACTGCAAGCCGATACCATTTGTCGATGCCGCTCGGCAATGTAGATTGATCCGAGAACAGGCAAGAGAAATCCCTGGTTGTCCTGTTCATGACAAGTACGAATTTCAGTCTCGGTACTACCAGTTTCACGAAAGCGAATGCATGCAGGCCCAATGGGTAGCAGCCTATAGTATATTTGAACGCCAGGCTTATGCCGAGACCAAAAGAAAAGTGTACCACGTCGTCGGACTCAGATTACCAAGAGAGCTTGCAGACATGGTGTTTGACTATGCTCTTGTGGCCGAAGGCATACCCAAGGATCTCAAGACGTACTTCGAGTTTCAACCTGAGTTCGAAGAATGCGGAGTAGATGCGTATGCAAAAGTCTGACAGGCACGGAGTGGGATCGAGGAGAGCGAATCCAGTGGAGATGGTCGGCGACGTCACTTAGGAGATTGTTCGGCGATAAGCCGTGGAGCGAAGGGGTCATATCTTGATACTCACTGGTGCTTGTACTGGAGAAAGATCTGCGATACCGTCTTGCCATCAATTGAGATGTTACTTGCCTTCAAGTTGCCCGGAGACGCCGAGGGCTCGCCAGCGCATGCTCCCAAATGAGATGTCCTGAACAAAAGGAGGAAGGCTGGATCTGACAAAACGTCATCGTCGTCCAAATTCTACTCAAAACGTAAGCTGCACCGAGATTTGGGTGGGGAGTGGAGCAGCACGTCGCACAACAGCTGCCAGAGCTGGCCGATCACATGCTGGAGTATTTGTAAGTACGTTGTACTCGGCGAACAGGAAAGGTGAATTTTCAAGATGACGTCCCTGACGCTAACAGACGGTGCCCTGCATAATCGGGCCTTTTCCATCGTAGCTACCCCGCATGTCGTCACATTGAGCAAGGTACTCTCCAGTGGAAAGCTATCGAACTTTTCATAAAAGGTTTAAAGAAGACGACTCTACACGCCAATTGACCACATCAAACACATCATAACTTTAGAATGTCTAAGCCAAACATTCTCTTCGTCCTCACCTCGCACAACAAGCTCGGCGACACCGGCAAGCCCACCGGCTGGTACCTCCCCGAGCTCGCCCACCCTTACCACGTCCTCCACAGCAAAGCCAACATCACGGTAGCATCGCCCAAGGGCGGTGAGTCGCCTCTCGACCCCGCATCCGTCGAAGCCGCGAAAGACGACGTATCCGTCAACTTCCTCAAGAACAACGAGCAGGTCTGGAAGACAACCCAGAAGCTGAGCGACTTCAAGGGCAAGGCGAAGGACTTCGACGCCATCTTCTACGTTGGCGGTCACGGACCCATGTTCGATCTCGTCGACGACGCGACCTCGCAACAACTCATCAGGGAATTCTGGGAGGCGGACAAGATCGTTTCGGCTGTGTGCCATGCGCCCGCTGTCTTCTACGATGCTAAGCTGAGCGACGGAAGTCTGCTTGTCGCTGGCAAGGAGGTCACCGCATTCACAAACGCTGAGGAGGAACAAGTTGGCCTATCCAAGGTCGTACCCTTCCTGCCCGAGGATGCACTGAACAAGGCGAGTGGAGGCAAGTTCGTCAAGGCAGCTGAGCCTTGGGGCGAGAAGGTCGCCATCTCTGGTCGCTTGATCACTGGACAGAACCCTACCAGTGCCACAGCAGTCGGAGAGGCTATCGCAAAGGCATTGGGCATCTAAGGAGGAATCATCAAATGTAAATAAGGGCCATGTAGAACAAATTCTGTCATGATTATACGAATGTTTTTCATTTACGAAGGGTAATATATACATCCAATCTAACATGTCTCTCGTGATTCTCCTTTCAAACTACTCCTCCTGATCTCGGTCAGTTTATACGTACATATACGTAACTTCGGTGACAGTCTCGTAGACGGTGGCTGGTGGGCAAGCAGCAGTGGGAGCGGAGTGCTCTGGTGCCATGGTGGTGACAGGAGCGGGAGCGGGAGCATGCGACTCTTCAACAGGCGCGTGAGAAGGCTCGACAGGCAGGTAGGTAGTCTCGTAGGGCTTCTCAGAGGTCATGAGAGTGCTGGAAGCATGCATGGTAGAGTTGCCGTACGGGACGGTGGTGTTGAGGTGCTTGTGAGGGATGGTGATGGGGTATGCGGTAGCCGCCTCGGAGGTTGCGGTGGAAGTAGCGTTCGCAGTGGTGACAGGGATGTATGAAGAGATCATGGTAGATGGCTTCATCATGGTGGTGGTAACAGCTTCCTTGCTGACGGTCAAGGCCTCAGAGGAGGCTGGTGCCACGACTGTGCTTGTGGTCTCAACCGGTGCGACAGTTGAAGAGACCTCAGGGGTAGGGGTAGGAGTTGCTGAGCTGACAGGTGCGGCCGATGAGGGCTTGACCAGGAGAGGTGTCAGCTTGCTCACGATCCAGTTTGATGCCTCCTCGGTGTAGAGCTCGAAGTAGTTCAAATGCTGAGCTACATCGTTTCCACCAGCGCAGACTGGGTCACCGCCGGCACAGTACGACCTCAAGACGGAGGAGTAAGTGTTCAAACGCTCAAGGTTGGAACCGGTACGGCCCCAAGCTTGCTTGTCTGCTCCGTCGAGGACGTTGTAGACTTGGTTCGCAGTGTGCTTGACATCGCCCCAGAGAAGAGCTGCCTTGACGGCCTGGCCAGCTTGAGAGTTGGCATCGAGACCGGTAGTCTTGGTGTCAACGTCGCAGGCGTCGGCGCCTCCGCCACTCAGAGTAGCACCGGCAACCATGGCACCTTGCGAGTAACCGTTGACGACGATTAAAGTATCCGGGCATTGAGCGTTGTACTCGGTGATTTGCCTGACGCCGTTGACGGCACCGTCCTGGATAGTAGGGCAGAACTCCACGCCGAGGGTGGCATCGAAGACGAGGTCCATATAGTCGCAAGAGTTTCCCTGAGCCTCGAATTTTGCGCAGACGGTATCTCTGAAACCAGAGGTACGGCCATCGCTGTAAGGTGCGTCATTGCCGCGGGCCATGAAGATAGCGACATCGTTACAGGCTGCGGTGAGCTTGGGAGGAGTGGTGCCTTGGGCACGGGCAGCCAAAGGAAGAGCTGCAAGAACAGCAGTGGCAAGGCCCTGCTTCATGATGGTCGTAGAAGGCATATCAAAGTTCGTGAATAAGGCGTTGCTTGTTCGCTGCGACTCGGAGATTTTGATAGGCGAGTGGTATTAGAGATCTATAGATCTAGTAGCGAAGGTCGTGAGAGCGTAGAGTATTAATTATTAGAGATGATATTATAGCATGGACTATATCCCTTTGATCTGATGTGTGGAGCGAGTGTTGATGGCCGAGCGAACGGACAAGTATTACACAAAGAGTAGAGCGTGATGGAGAGGGTGAAGAAAAGGCCTCAATCAACAGGAACATGCGACATGATATGCCGAACTGACTGTGGAGCCCCCCGTATCGAGAACCACCATCAGCGGCTCTGTGTAAGACTTTGGGGCGAACGGCCTCGTCGTGCAGGAGCGCATGCTTGCAAGCGTATGCATTTTGGAGGCTTCAATCGAACAGTCTGCGGCCCTAGCAACTTGGACTATTGTGTATCCACAGATCTCGTGTTCATTCCAGGTTAGCAGGGCGCCGCTAGCACAGGAGAGGCAATACAGTTCGCTCGCTATGACTCGTGCGGCATAGTCGGCATTACAACCACCGGCATTATCTCGTATCAGGTGTGAGAGATAGGATAAGGCTGCAACCGTTGACACCTCGTGTGCTGCAGATGTTATCCGGAGTGGAGAGTATGCAGTCGTTGAAGGTCTCATGTCTACGCGCCCCTCTCTTGGGATCGTTGTGGCTGAGGAGAGAAAATTTGCATAGCTCAATGTTGAGAAACTATGTCATGTTAGCTTTTGTGGTGGTCAGATCATTGTCCGTAGTGCGCGAAATCACAGGGTTCAATCGACACTACAATGATCTGAGACCCTGGCCTCTGCCAGCTGCGCGCTATCATGCTCCTGAACCAGAAATCGTTCTTCTGCCAACGTGCTGTTCTGAACCGCCAAACCGGGCAGCCCCGGTTCTTCGGATCGCTGACAGGTGCGTCTACATCTCTCGGGCCTTCCAACAGAACAGAGGCGTGTGCTGTCTGTCTGACTGTGCTTGGGCGATGAGACCAAAGGTTAAAGATTGAAGATGACGTTTCTTTTTGCTCGGCGACGGATCGGCTTGAGATCACGAGCTCTGAGGCCACGAGACGTGTTGGTCATGGTTTACTGTGGGTTGCTGTATCGGTGGCGGAGGTGGAGATGTGCAATGTGTATTTTGGGACGCTTGCACCTTCGCCGTGGGTCGAGATTCTCCCGAAAGTCGTGGATCGAGGAACTCGCTACTTGCGTTCGGCCTAGCGCCCGCTATTTTCAGCGATCTCACGCCTTGCGATGACGAAATGCGACAGGGATGGCTGAGATACGAGGTTCTGCGGAGCAAAAGTGATTTTCATGGCCGATGTGCCGCCCGTGTCGCGGTATCGTGGTTATGAGTGATGGTAGAGACTGGAGGGGCTCACTCAACGTCACGTGCCTGTCGGCCGAGAGGCTTCTTGGCTTCTTGGACACTTGAGGAACCTTGGCTCTACCTAGGTAGCGAGACAGCGAAAGCCGGACACAAGCTGGTAGGTCGTCTTCTACCTCGACTGCAACGCCCCTAAAGAAAAATCTAAGAAGATCTTTCTACTCGCAGCTTTGCAGAGTATACACGGTGTTTTTCCTAGAATTTATTTCCAACGTCGTAGTGCAGAACGATGGTGTTGCTCGAAATTCCTAGGTATTTCCAGGCTTTCGCTGTTAGGCTGCAAGAGCTTGGAAACCCGCAGCTACCACTTGCGCAACGAAATCACTCATCTCAACAATGGCATTGCTGTCACACAGCTACCCCAGGTCGTACACCGGAGTACCGTAGCGCGCCATATAGGGCAGAGGAGAGAGTGCTACCGACCAATCGAGGATGAGACGGTGTAAGCACGATGTTAAGAGCGTAATAGTGTTCAAACGGTGTTAGGATAGTGTCTGTGCTCAGCTGTAGCTTCCAACACCATCTCGTCCTTAATTCCTTAGGCAGTTGGTAGCAATTCCTCCTATACTCTCGTTTGGGCGGTGAGTAAGCACGTACAGCCCTCAGAAGTACCTAGGTAGCCCGATGACCTCTTAAACAGTGACTACATTGCATGGCGCGGCCCTCTACGCGTGCATTCCACCATTGCCCATTTCGTCTCGAACCTTATCTGCTGTTCGCCCATTCCGCTCCGAACTTTATTTTGCTGTTAGCTTGGTCTTACAACAACGTAGGCGTATACCCAAGATTATCCTCGTTGTCGGTGATACCAAGGTCATCTTCAGTCCGTATGGAAGTATTGGTCAAAGAAAACCATCAGAACCGAGCTGAGGGTGCCAAAATCGCTACAGCCTGCCTAGATGGGTGCACACAGCGACTTAAAACGGGTGATTGGGCACGTCCTAGCTCGCGAACCATCTAAATGAGGTCGAAGATGAGCGTGTATCAACTGAAGAGAGAGTCGGTGAAGCATGGACAACCTCAGACCGTCGACCCCTAGCCCATACCACCTCACCGGTCGCGAAGACCACGAAAGCAAGAAGGCAGTGTAACACCGAGTAATCAAAGTGAAGCTGAAAGTAAGTTCAGCGGTTTGAGTATATAACTCCCTTCTTCCGCTGGTAATCTTGTATCATCCACCAACTCAAACAGTTCCTTCAACCGCACCTACTATCTTCAAGACTACCTTCTCACTCCGCAAACTTCTACTCTCATTCAAAATGCGTTTCTCCATCGCCTCCACCACTGCCGTCATGGCCGCCCTCGCTGCCAGTGGAACCGCCTTCGTCATCGATACCTTCGGTGACCGTAACTGCGGCGGCAATGTCCAGCAAACTGTCAACATCTGGGACGACACCTGTGCAGCCTGGCCACAAGGCTTTGGATCCTTCAGGATCACGACCTGGGGAGGAAACCACCAATTCGCATACTTCTTCGCACCCGACAGCTGCGGCAACCCTTCCGGAGCCATCGGATCGGGCTACGTAGACTCTACGACGTTCGATTACGCCCAGGGAAGGTGCTACAATTTCAACGGGGCTAGTGCCAATGCGATTGCTTCGTACTACAAGGTCTAGAGAGATGTACACGATAGTAAGCTTCCAAAATATAAGCGCTAAAGTAGGGCTGACTAACTCGCGACAGTATGGGAAGTGATGAGAAATGGTAGAAAGATCAGCTCTCTTGTTCTCAAGCAGATGTTCAACTCTCATCCACTCTTTGAACAAGCTTTTGTGTGTGTGTCGAATAGAGTCTATCATGTAATAGCGATGTAATCAATCTCGATCCTATTACCTCTCCAAAATATGCTCTACACTTTGCGTGACATCAGCTACAAACACATCAGCGTTACATCACATGAATGAGAAAAAACTCAGTGTACATACCATATCCAATATCCCTCACCGCAGTGAAAGTCTCCCTCCCCAAACTCGTCGCCCAACAAACCAGAAAACTTACACCTCACTCGCACCCACAGTCGGCACCACAACCGCCGTACTTCTTATCATAGAACAAACTCGTTGGCCCAGCGAAAAGCACTGGAGAGCCACATGATAACCAGAACATGCAGTCTGCGTCGGGTGCGCAGCATTGAGCCAAGGTGTGAGAGTTTGAGAAGGCGGCTGTGTAGTCACAGGAGCGGAGGTCGGAGACTGCGTTGTAGTTGAGTTAGTGGAATCGGGTTACTAGATGAGGAAGTTACGGATCTGCTGAAGGACAAGGCGAAGCTTACACTGTCCATCCGCTGCGTCGATCCAACCAACTAGCGCCGGATCACTTCCGGATGATGTCTGCTGGGCCGCGAGCTCCGCGTGTGGGGTAGTAAGTGGATTGGGTGGGTTCGTAAATCCTGCGACGAGGAATTTGATGGCCATTGCTGTGATTGTCTTCATGTTGAATGCGTGCATATTGTTGGGCTTGGGCTGGGCACTCCATTTTATGTGATTGAGGAAGCTGCGGCACATGAGGCGAACGCGGTGTTGGATACATCGGCACAGATGAGCCACTCAGTAGGGTCCGCCAAAAGGGTTGTAGACATCCAGGGAATGAGGTGGCGACACCCGAATTACCCGAGCTGGGGTTGAGAAGGGGACAGGAACGGTAAGAACGGTAAGATGGTGAGCGAGTAAAACAATGGTATCTCGATTGCAGAACAAGAAGCAGAAAGACAACAACAACAAGAGCTGAAACATACATGAAGAAAAGAGGACAAGTCTACAGCGCCGTACCCAATCGCGAAACGTACAGTCGCAGAACGGGAAAGACATTCGGAAAGATCGAAGTGTTGCCGAATCATCCGAGCGGTGCAGCACAGCATCGTCAGGCGCACTCGCCTCAATCCCGTTTCTCCGTTGCAACAGGCACATCCTGATGACTCTCAGACCCGCTCGCAACCTGCGACGCCGCTCGACCCGGAGTCGCAGGGCCAAATCCAGTCAGAACCTCCATATCCCCATCTGCATCGCTGAAATACTTATAGTCCAAACCCCTCAGCTCATCATCCTCAGTCGCGCGGATATGGCAACCAGGAATCCTGTTGATGATGAAGAGTAAGATGATCGAGACGACAAAAGACCATGCGGCGCATGTAGTCGCAGCAGCCAGCTGGTAACCCATCTGTTTCCAGTTCTGGGCCCACCAGCCGCCTTCGTAGGTGTTGCTTACGCCGTCCATGGCGGGTACGTAGGGTGCGGCGAAGAAACCGGTCATGATGTCGCCGACGTAACCGCCGACGCCGTGGATGGCGAAGATGTCGAGGCCCTCGTCGATGCCGAGGAGGTATTTGTAGCGGACTGTGAAGAAGGATGCGCAGGAGGTGAGGGCTCCGATTAGGGCTGCTGTCTGCACAGGCACGAAGCCACAGGCTGGTGTGATACCGACGAGACCGGAGATGATTCCAGAACAAAAGCCGATGATGGAGAATCTGCGGGTAAACATATATTCAAGTAGTACCCAGGCTATTCCGCCACCAGAGGCGGCGAGGTTGGTGTTGCAGACGATGTAGATGGAGCGAAGAGAGAGGTTGGCAGTCGAAGCGCCTACAGACTGTCAGTACACTGCCTCAACTTCTCGACATACAGCATTCACTCACCATTGAACGCAAACCATCCAAACCAGATCAATATCGTGCCAAGCCCAACAAGGAAAGGGCTATGAGGCTTGAAGTGCGGTATCCTGGGGTGATGCGACTCCTTGTGCGGATCAACGCGCGGCCCCAGCATAACAGCCCAAGCCAGAGCAGAGAAACCAGACGCGATGTGTACAGGACCCGAGCCGGCGAAGTCGAGGACACCAAGCTTGTACAGCCAACCACTAGGATTCCACTCCGCATGTGCTAGCACGTAGTATACAAACGTAGTCCAACAGAGCAGGAAGAGCATCGAAGGAAATAAGCGTCCTCGCTCAAGCATCGCCCCTGCCAAGATCATCGCGGTGCAGGTAACGAAAGTGAACCCAAATGCAGCATAGAGTATATCAGGAATATCGGCGTTCGCGAGCGACGGTGAGGCGAGTGTGTTGTGTAGACCTGCTTTTGACAAGTCTCCCAGGAAAGGGTTGGTTGTATGCGACTGGTAGAGAGAGTAGCCGTATACCCAGAATTGGATGCCAACTGCGCAGGCGCAGAAGAGAGATTGGAAGATCATAGTCAGCGCTGCCTTTCGGCGATGCATGCCTGCGTAGAGGAAGCCGATGGCGGGTGTGATTTGCCTGATTGCGATCAGTATGTTTCGATTCCACATGTATGGAAGTGTCACACACCAACATAGTACTGTGCTGACCAGCATCCAGCACAAATCGCCCTTGTCGTAGAGCGCATTGAGATCAGTTGTCATGACGTCTCCTCCATTGGGATCGACAGCATAGTCCGGCCATTCCGTGATGGGTGTCGGGGCTGGGATAGCCGCCATATTGACAATATGTTGTACGGTAAAGCACCAAAAGTTGTACACTCGGAGCAATTCACAGTACCGAATCCTCGGGGATCGACCACGTTTATATCCAGCGATCTCTTCCCTACGCACGTCTCGGTTGCACGAGCGCGCCATCGCATTCCCAGGATAACATGATATGCAACGCGTTGTTCCTAGCCAACCACAAACCCGCTAGCAGAACCACAGCCATGGGAAGGAATAATTCGCCGTGATCGGTATAGTGAGAGACATCCAGAGTTCCTTATCGTTCCACTTCCCCAGGACACTAAGGAGGAGTGGAGATGGCCAAGGAGGCGGAAAGCGGAAGCCAGCCATGTGTATCGCTTGGCGGGAGATAACGGGACGTGGGGTACCGCGCACGTGGAATGCATCACAACTCGCCCATCGCAAGTGCCTCACGACGACATTGTCAAAGACTTTCGGAAACGAGGTCCCAGCACTTGCGCATTCCCGTAGACAAAGTCTCGTTGTCCATGGCTTTGCTGTCTACCCACTTGCGGGTGGGCGGGCCCTTGCATGTAAGCTCGATATCTCCGGCCTTATCGGCGTCGATCCTGTACTGATAGGTATGCATGGTCAGCCTCAAATGGCTAAACACATGGACCAATGGCGGAAAGCTGGCAACAAAACGCGCTTTGCTCATGTCAGCGGCACCGGCATCGAGGTCAAAGATGTATTGCTGCGCCGACGTCTTGCGCTGCTGAGGCGTCTTGTGTGATGCAGTCAGCGTGTTCTGCGGAAATTGCCTGTATCACGGTCAGCGTACGCCCCAGCACTAGATAAGAAAAGCCGAGCAATGGGCCTATCATGAGACATGATATGATGCTGGACGGCAATGGGCGTTAGGCAGTACCCGAGCAGCCACCCAGCAGTGGCGCCATGATAGCATGCGTTTATTACGTACCACAGTGATGCGAGGAGACCTTCATGCAATCGTCAGCAGTGCTTTAGTATCGTAGTGCAAAGCTTACCTTTGGCAGGCCTCTGCTCTATCAGCCATTTACTGCTGCCGTCATTCGAGCGCAACTCTACCATGCATACCACACAGTCTTCTTCGGCGGCCTTCTTCTTCGCCATCTTCTTCGGGAATAGTGAGCAATACGTGGATATAGATTTCGACTCTCCAGTAGGCGCCGGCAGCTTCCGCTTCTTGGAATCCTCGACAGGTGGGCTATCAAGATCCTCGTCGTCGTCTTCCGTTTCTACATTTGACTTTGGCGTTCCAACAGCGAAGTATTGCGAGATAGTGTTTGTTTGTTTCGTGGTGGCTTTTCTCTTCTTGTTCGCTCGTGGCGGCTCATCGTTCGTTGCGTCTTCAGAAACTGCAACCAAGTCTTCGGTATCCAACGACGCACAAAGAGAGCATGCATCCTCGATGTCAGGTATTACAACCGCCGACTGGCGCTTGTCAGATAAAGCCTTTCCTTCGCTATAGGCCCTGCATGTCGACTGAATAGGACACTCGTCACACCTGGGTCTCGGCGTACACAGTGTGGAACCGAGTTCCATAAGCGCTTGATTCCACAGCCCGGGCACCTCGCTCGTCCGTGTTTCCGGAAAGTTAGAAGCGTGTTTGATTAGTCGATCAGCCATATCCCAAAGAACATCTGTCGCCTTTTTGTCCTTGACATCCATGTACAGGCCCAGCTGTCGATTGAGCACGCGCGCCACGTTCCCGTCGAGGACAGGCTCCGCTTCACCGAATGCGATACTAGATACCGCGCCTGCAGTGTATCTTCCAATGCCAGGAAATTCCTGTAGCTCCGTAGCGCCACTGGGGAGTGCACACGAAGCACCAGCAGATTTGGCAATCATAGCTTTTGCACCTTCATGAAGGCGTGTTGCACGCGAGTAGTAACCCAGACCTTTCCATACGGAAAGAACATCATCATGGTTCGCTTCGGCAAGGTCTTGAACTGTGGGCCACTTTTCGACCCAATTGTTGAAGTACGGTATTACTGTTGACACGCGAGTCTGTTGGAGCACTGTTCGATCATCAGCCAACGTTTCCTTCAGCCTCCAGTAGAAGACGCGATCGCGAACAGAGCACGTGACACCGCGTTCACGCGTCTCATCAAAAGATCACCACAAAGAAAATAATTTACTTACTGACTTCCGAAACCCAAACCTCATACGCCCTCTTC